AATTTTTCCGTTTTTTTTCCCAGGCCTTCACATCTCTAGCCACAGCCCATACCGAAGAGGAAGAGGTTCTTCTTCTTCTTCCTGGTTCCCTTCTGACTGGGATATAAGGGCTCAGGGAAGACATTCTTCTTCTAATGGAAGAGTCACTTAATTGGGAGGAATCTAAAGACGCTCCTTAGATTGGAAGGAGGCTTCAGACCTAAGCCAAAAGGGAAGGTTGGGATAGTTATTAATAAATAAACCATGCTTAGTGGTGTGGCAGGTCAGGGGTAGGATCCACCCCCCCACACCCCCCGGGAGTGCAAGGCAGATCTGCTCATGCTGGTCTTGTGGGTCTGTTACAAGTGGAACTGAATGTCTTGGGTTGTTGCCAACAGACACTCTTGCGTCCGATCCCACAAAAGAGTTGGTCTGGACGTGACAGTCTTGTCACACCCACGACAGCTGCAACACTAGCACCTCTGTTCCGATCGCCGCCCACCCCCCCACGGTGAGATAGTACAGGAGGCGGAGGGAACGTGTCTCACAGCCTATTGGCAAGCGATCGTGCTGAACACAGGGCTTAAATGTCTGCAAGGGGAAGGTTTGCAACAAGGTGGGAAGAGACTGGTTTTCATTCCCCCCCCCTCCTCCACCCTCGACCAAGTGTTGTTAAAGTATAACTTTGTCTGCACGATCCATTGAGTCAAGCAATTTCTTGGAGACCTTTTTGTCCCCTCTCTCTCTCTCGCAGGTGGACCTCTTCAAAAAGACCCTCCTGTTAATTCCCATCCATCTGGAAGTCCACTGGTCCCTCATTACTGTGAATCTCCCGAACCGCATTATTTCGTTCTACGACTCTCAAGGCATTCATTTTAAGTTCTGCGTAGAGGTAAGAGGTCGGTCCTTACAAAGCATTTCTTTTGGTCTTTGCTGAAAGAGGAGTCGCTCCTTCATTTCACGGGACTCTCACTTAAAAGTTTGGCGGGTTTTGGAGCTGTGAATCTCAGGGTCTTCCCGTGCTAGAAGCAGTGTCTCGGTTCCCTTTAACTGGCGTGTTGGAACTGAAGCCTGCTACTGAGTGCCACACACACACCCCAGCAATATTTGAGTCCAGTAGCTGTGGTGGCTCAAGCGGTTAAGACGCTGAACTGCAGGCTGTGGAAGGTCAGTAGTTCGGCAGTTCGTAGACCCGGGTGCCGCATGACGGAGTGAGCTCCCGTCTCTAGTTCCAGCTCCTGCCACCCTAGCAGTTCGAAAGCAAGAAATTGCAAGTAGATAAATAGGTACCCCTTCGGTGGGAAGGTAACAGTGTTCCGTGCGCCTTGGTGTTTAGTCATGCCGACCACATGACCACGGAAACGTCTTCGGGCAGCGCTGGCTCTTTGGCTTTGAAACGGAGATGAGCACCGCAACCCTAGAGTCAGATTCGACTGGCTTTCGAGCAAGGGAACCTTTACCTTTACCTTAGCACCTTAGAGGCCCTTAGTTGGATTGCCCAGGCTAGCCTGATCTCGTCAGATCTCAGAAGCTAAGCAGGGTCGGCCCTGGCTAGTATTTGGATGGAAGACCTCCAAGGAATACCAGGGTCATGATGCCGAGGCAGGCAATGGCAAACCACCTCTCAAATGTCTCTTGTCTTGAAAAACATACAGGATCACCGTAAGTCAGCCGTGACTCGACGGCACTTTCCACCAGTGTCTTAAAGACGTAGTTTGGTGTAATGGGTAAGAGTGCAGACTCTAATCTGGGAGGACCGGGTTTGATTCCCCACTCCTCCGCATGCAGCGGCTGGTGTGGCCTTGGGCCAGTCACAAGTTCTCTCAGAGCTGGTCTCTCACGAGGAGTTCTCGAAAGAGCTTTCTCAGCCTCACCTACCTCACAGGGTGTCTGTTGTAGGGAGAGGAAGGGAAAGGAGATTGTTGTAAGCCGCTCTGAGACTCCTAAGTGAAGGCGCAGGGTATGAATCCAATCTCCTCTTCTTCCTCAAGATTTCCACGGTATGGGCTTTCAAGAGTCAAAGGTACAAATAGGAATGGAGATCCCTGAGCCTTTATATCCCAATCGGAAAGTGGGGGGAGGGGTTGTTGCAAAGAAGGGGGAGCAGGAAGCAAGAGTACAATGCAAAACGTAGCCAACTTGACCAGAGAAGGGGAGAAATGCTTAGGGGCAGCAAATTAGTATCTGTGGTGAGACGGGAATCCTGTGTTCCTGCTCAGCTCTGGAGGGTCCAGTGTTCTGAATTTGTGAACGAACTCTAGTTCAGCAATCTCCCCCTTCCCCCCAGATGCCCAGCAGTTTCCTGTTTGTAAATGCTGTAGATTCCATGTTAAAGGGGGCCAAAAGACCTTCTTTTAGTGAAACCAAAATTGATGAGCAATGCTCCCTCTAAGCTGTGGAGTCCTGTGAGCAAAAATTCTACTTTGTGAGCTAGTGGCATTAAAGCTGTGAGCGAGCGATTTGGCTGCTGCCTAAATTAGTTCGCTCTGGAGCCATCCTCCCTGAGCTGAGACTAAAATGTGTGAGCTGGAGGCTAAAATATGGTGAGCTAGCTCACACTAACTCAGTTTAGAGAGAACACTGAGCAAGATGCGGTGGAGGTAGAAGCGGTAATGTAACCACATTTTCAAATGGTGGAAAACAGCAGTAGTCCAGTAACACCTTAAAGACCAACAAAATTTGTGGCAAGGGATGGGCTTTCGTAAGTCACTCACTGCTCATGTTTTCAAATACTGAAGATACAGATACTGCAGATACTGAAGAAGTGAGCAGGAACTCACAAAAGCTCATCTCCTTCTGCGATTTTTGTTAGTCTTCAAGGTGCTGCTCTTCTTTTATTAAGGCACTTGGGGTGTCAAGTCGGCTAGGCTAAGATTATTACACTGTTGAGTTTCCTGAACTCAGGTCTGCAGATTCTAACCAAATGGGGGTTTAATTCCAGGTTTTGCAGCCTTTGACACCCCCCCTCACTGCACCTAGGAAGGTCTTGGTAAAGAACAAAACAGGATCCAGGGACACCTGACAGACCAGCAGTTTATTCCAGCATAAGCTTTTTTGAATCAGACCTACATACATCCTTGTAGGTCATTTTATGCTTGAAGTTAACAAGCAACAGGAAGGCTGAGGATAGTTTCAAACAAAAGCCGTCTGAGAAACAAGCCCGTTCAGAGTGAGGGTGACTTCCAGCCAATGGCTCCCTCTAAGCTGTGGAGTGCTGTGAGCAAAAATTCTACTTTGTGAGCTACTGGCATTAAAGCTGTGAGCGAGCGATTTGGCCACTGCATAAATCAGGTTGCTCTGGAGCCATCCCTTCCTGAGCTTGAGACAAAAATGTGTGAGCCGGAGGCTAAAAAACTGTGAGCTAGCCCACACTAACTCAGCTTAGAGGGAACACTGTTCCCAGCTGTTGATAAGACAGGCTTAAAAACATAAAATCAGATCTAAGGTAGGTGCACTGTGAAACAAGCTGATCCAATCAGGGCAGTGCAGAGGGTGTGTTAAAGTACAGCTGAACAAATCAGCATCTTTAATGGGTGGGCCATGCCGAGCTGTTAGCACCTATAGCGAGTGAGGAAATCCAAGTTCTTGTTCAGACCTTGAGGAGAAGAGATAGCACTGAAGCTGTTGATGAATCCGATTTTAGCGCTTCCACGTTGGACTTTCCCTTTGAAGTTTCGTGGTATGAGAACAGTAATTGACGCTCTTTTCTTTTTTATCCTCCTAAAGAACATCCGGAAATACTTGCTGACAGAAGCTAAAGAGAAGAATCAGCCTGAGTTCCTTCAGGGTTGGCAGACTGCTGTTACAAAGGTAAGCATTGCGGAGGGGGAGCGGGGGTTAGGGGGCAGCTTTTGTAAGGTAAAAGGGGGCTACTCAGCAGCTTCCCTGTGGAGAGGCGGTGGCTAACTGGCAGAGCAGCTGCTTGGCATACAGAAGGTCTCAAGTTCAGTCTCCGACATCTCCGGTTAAAAAAAGGGTCAGGTAGGAGGGGATGTGAAAGACCTCAGCCTGAGACCCCGGAGAGCCTCTACTGGTCTGAGTAGACAGTTCTGGCTTTGATGGACCAAAGGTCTGGTTCTGTATAAGGCAGCTTCATGTGTTTTGCGGAACATGGCAACAGCCACAGGGCGGCACAGGGTGAAACTTCCATTTCCCAAAGCTTGCAGGAAAATCTGTTCAGCATCAGTGTGGCCCCAGTCCATGTATTTAGGTATCCGTAGAT